GAGGGCCAGCCCCAGAGTGGCAGGGAGGGGATGTAGAGCAGGGCCACACATGGAGCGGTGCATGGAGTACAGCGGGCTGGATCCGGAGTGGGGGAAGGGGGGCTAGAGCAGGGCTGGACCCAGAATAGTGCACAGGGTAGAGCAGAGCCAAACCCAGAGCAAGAGGAGGTAGAGAGCGGAACTGGACCCACGGTGGGGGGGAGGGGGGTAGAATGGGGCTGGACCCGGAACAGTGGGGAGGTGGAGCGGGGCCAGACCCGGACCACCGTGGGGGGGCAGAGCAGGGTCAGACCTGGAGCTGAGGGGGCATGCAGTGGGGCTAGATGCAGGGCTCCATCCCCACCTGCCCCCTGCCCCCTCCCCCGTCATTCTTGACAGGCAGTTTGCTAGTGTAGTGTGGAAAAGACTTACCTGAAGAGACGGGGAGGCAGTGGGATGCCACGCCGGGAGCCGATCCTGGCAAAAGTGAAAAGATCAAAAGAGAAACATGGCAGAGCCAGGAGGAGCCGGGAACAGCTCCTGCATCTACCTGGGCAAACTTTATAAGAGTGTGCCAGGGCTGATTGGTTGGCCAGATGCCCGGAGCTGGGATAAAAGACCCAGCGGAAGAGAAGCCCATGGGACCGGTCGTGGAGTCCCCAACCGGCCTGGAGAGGCCAGAGCCCTTGAGTGGTCCCAATGAGGGGACCTGGTGGGTACCCTGGAAAGGGGTCACAGCAAGAGCACAGGGCCAGAGAGGGCCCAAGGATCTACTTACAGGGTCGGCGTGGACCAAAGAAGGCGGCAGGAATGACTGGAGTACAGCAGGACCCAGCAGTGCCAGGATACAGACACAGCTGATGGAAGGCAGGGGAGAGTCAATGCACCGGGGGACAGAATGGTGCTGAGGCCGGATGCCGTGTAGGCAGAGAGAAGGGGGGCCATAGGAGATGCTCAGCATAGAAGCACCACCGTTAGCCTGCAGCCGAAGACCGCGAGAGACCGAGTGTCAAAATGGTTCAGAACATCAACCTCGATAACACAGGTGAAAACATTGCAGTTGGCGTTAGGCGGGGTGTAAGAGAGACGGAGTCCAACAAAGAAGGAACAACAGGAATGACCAAAGGAAGGCACCAGGGGAGGCAGGACCGAACATCATCATCCCGATACAAACATATCCATCATCAAAGAGGTGGCAGGCGAGGTCGCTGGGGAACCAACCCAAAGTCACCTCAATAAGCAGGCTGTTCCACCCAAGGAACCATGGTGAGGTTTGAGAAGAACCCACACGTGCAACGCTCAGGGGAAAGACACAGGAGGTTACATGTAGATATAAAATTTGACAGCAACATATTTACAAGTTTTCTTTTTTTTTCCCATGAAAAGTGTGAATACTAAGGACACATTGTTTCTTTTATTTAAAATACAATTAGTTGCAATTTAAATCCAAATACTTGTCTTGTTATAGTAGTCAGTCAAAACTTGCATAGTTTTAAGTCTAAAATATTCTGAAAATTGATGGTACTTATTCTGTATCTGTGTACTACAGTGGAATGCATATGGATTCATGAAAATATCTCCAAAATCCATTAGAGAAAGGAGAAGTTTACTTTTGTTTTTGTTTTATTATAACAACAACTGGAGTCACCAGCCAAGTTCAAGGCTGCACTGTAAAAGGAACTATATAAACACAGAGTCAGTCATGAACCTGAAGTTCTTACCATCTAGCTAGCTAAAACGGACATGTTATGGGAAAGAGACAGAAGCATAGGGAAGTGTAAGATATTTGCTCAAAGTCCCATAGCAGGGCAACAGCAAAAACACAAAGAGAACTCAAGTCTTCTAATTCCCAGTCCACTGCCCCAGCTCCTAACCAAATGATGATTCCCATGTTCACTTCTGTATATAATATGTACAGAGCTATTATAAGTAACAAAATTATTAACATTTAACTTTTTCCTTGCTGTTTTCTGGGAAAATAAGTGTTCTCCTTTAGATTTTAAAGTCATTTTATTTCGGTCAAAAATGTTCAAGGTTGCATGTTATAGTTTTTCATTTCATTCTAATGCCAATTTATTAGGTATAAATACCTTTGAACTGTTGCAGCTGATTCATTTATGTAGCCAGTTCCCATTTCACTTTGTGTATGAAAAGTCTGCTGATGTGTGCATTCTCACCATCTCCTGTTTGGGGGTTTGTTTGGGGGTTTTTTTGTTTTGTTATGGGTTTTTTGAAGCATTTTTGGTCTAATAATAGAATTATAGAAAAGCAGGGCTGGAAGGGGCTTCAGAAAGTCATATAGTTCAACCCCTTGCTCAAGGCAAAATCATCTGTGGTTTTGTTATATACAGTTTTAAAATAGAATAAAATATATTTATTCTAATTGAAATTGGACCCACTTGGTTTGATGAGAAGTTGTCTCGTTAACTAAAGTAACGTTTCAGATTGTTCAAAAACGTTGACTATTTTTACTGCTTATACTTTGAATATGTTAGTTTATAATTGGCTAAAACAATTTTATAGGCATTGAGACAGCTCTTGGATAATGTGGCAAAGAATATAAAATGCTACTCAACTTCAAAACTATATAAAAACATTTTGTATTCTATTCTAGTAGATATGTGTCCATATAATATTCTATAAATGCAAACCGTTTCATATGTTTACTTTTACATGTAACTGAGTCATTCTTTTTGCTATGTTTTCACTATTTCTAATTCTATATTCAGGCCATGCTTACTACATACAACTTTTTGGTTTAGAATCATATTACATGTTACAACACAAATAATTATTCTAATCCACTAGCCTATTTTTTTTTAAGCAGGACAAAGGCTACTTTTGTATATGCTTTACAATCAGTATCAGAACTGTCATTTTACAGTATGAGAACTGTTGTCACTTTGTAGTTAGTGCATCTCTGAACAGACAACTGATTTTAGGCTCTCCATGTTTCAGACTGAGAGATCAGGTGAGGAATCTCAGTTCTCTACATTAAGAGGTTTTGTATGTGGAAAGAATGGTTTTGTCAGTTGTCTACTGAGGTTTGGAGCTGTGGATTCCTCTGGAATATGCATCTGAATTCCTTTTCTAGTTCCACAAATGCTGCATGCTGCCAACTTTTCTGACTTTGGAGCTCTAAATTAAGGCCAGTTCTGCTCATCCCACAAACCCTTTCATGTTCTTTAACCGCAGCCTGAGAAAGGCGCCTTGGTTTCAACAGCAGCAGACCAACATATGTTTACTTAATTCCTAAGACATGATGACAGTGGTCTTTATGCCACTAAAAGCTTTTCTCTTTATTATTTTCTGTTGAAGTTGATTTCTAAAAGTTCTTCACATGCCACGTGTTTTATTGCAGTGTCTTCAGTGTGACCCATGAACAGCAATGGAAATTAAAGGAACAGCAACTGAAACTGCAGATTACTCAGCTTGAGACAGCTTTAAAGTCTGATTTAGCAGACAAGAATGAAATTCTTGACAGAATTAAAGTAGAAAGAGGTATCTATAAAAGACCATTCTTTTTCTTAATGCCCAGTTATATGATACATGCCACAGAAGAGCTCAGCCTGTAAGTGGTGACTCTAGGACCCCACTGTAAAACCCTGATTGGGCAATGTACTTCAAGCATGTCTAACCTGAAGTGCATACATAGTCCAAATAAAATTAGGTGTATGCTTAAATGCCTGCTGGGTAGGGGTCTGTAGTCACTAGAATTTTATATTTCCATTAGTCTTTTCAATTCAGGCCTAATTTTATTTTTCTATTCATGGGCATTTCCTCCATGGTCCCTCTTCTTTACTCATCTCTGTTACTTGCTATGTACTATACTAAGGTTCAAGTGATTCCTATACAGCTTGTTCTACGTTTAGCTATCTATGGTTAGTAAATACTAATCTTAATTAACAGCTAACTAACAGTTATTTCCAATAATTACACTATTTGGTTTCCAGTCACATGATCCAATTTATCCCTTTTCCTGTGGTACAAGATATTTTTTGAGCTTCTTAGTAAATATTTAAAACCACTTAATGCTCTTCTTGAAATTTTAGCAAATTTGTTCCAAAACCCAAGCCCAAACCAGAAAAAGCAAGATCATTTAGGTTAAGTACAGACAGTCAAAAAGCCGGAGGCTGAACTGATTCAGTCTTTGCAGGTTAGTCTAAGCTGCAAAGACAGAACCAATAAGTAAATGCACAGACATTCATTTTTGATTCAGGAAATGTAGCCATATTTCTGCAGTGGCTCAAGCCAGCAGCCAAGAGGCACTAAAGCATGGCTCTCTGGTATGCAGCCAACATGAGGAGTGTGTTTGCTTCCTCTTTCTGCTGCCCCCATGGTCTCTGGGATTTGCAGTCCACAATCACAGCAGCAGGACATTGCAGGATTGCACATCACTTCCTCTTCCTGCTTCCATGTACGTCTGGGATTTGTAGCGCAGTCACAGCCAGCACTAAGTAAGTAAGGCAGGGCAGCTCCATACTTGGGAGAAGGGAAGTTTAACTCCCTTCCCTGGCCGCAGACCCTAGCAGAGGGTTGCCTGAGAGGGCCAGTGAGCCAGGCCTCACTGCTCCAGCTAGGGAGCAAGGGGTGGGGCCAGCCCTGCTCTCTGGAGCAGACAGCACAGCCCAGTCCATGGCTGCAAAATGCTAGAGTGCTGGGGGACTCTGATTTAACTTGAACCAGGAAGGGGTGTGGGACAGAGATTTCATAAAGTGGTTTGACCCAAATCAGTTAAGTCCGATACTACATTCAGCCAGGTTCATCTTAAACCAGGAGCGAAATTAAAATTAGACTAACACCAATTCTTAAAACATATCCAATCCTTCAAGACTAGAATCTTAACTACCTATTCCTTGCCATGCTCAGCATTCTAAATTAAAAAAGCTACCTGTAAAAATAGATAAGCTGTGCAACATGCCCTGAGGGTCAGCTGAAAAGATCCCAGTATTAAAAGAATATCATAGACTATTTTATAGTAAGGAGAAGGATATACTCAACAGTGCATGTTGTGTTTTGCCCAATTGACTTACATTAAGCAGATGGGAATTTGAAAGGTTAATGCTTGCACCTCAGGTTGACAGTGTATATTTGCATCTCTGTGACCTAGAAAATTCATTTCTTTTACAACAAATGGTAAGGGAATATGTCAGTGAAGGATGAGAAATTAAAAAAGAAAAACCTCATTCAGATAAGCCATATAAAATGATAAAGGATGATAGACTCATACTTCTATGTCTTAAAAACTTCTGATTTGTGGAAAGATTTAGGTTTAATTTAGACCATTTATGACTTGTCTATATTAAGAGTTGCATTATTATAACCAAATCACTTTAAAATCAGTTGAGCTAATCCTGAAGATTTACTTCATCCTACTAAAGCAAAATTCCTCTTAATTTTTCACAATTGATTTATTTCAGCTATTGATTTATACCTTAGTTGATAATTTTGAAGTTAAGCTAGATGATTTAATGTTTTTACCATTCAAAATGAGTAAGGATCTTACAAGAAAATTATTGAAAATGTCCCTAGTCAGACAATTATGTTCAAGGTTTCTCTTTCTGGCAATATACTTTTATTTGCGAGTGAAGTTTTTGATGCAATGATTTGATTTTTAATGAGGGTAAAAAGACTGAATAATTTATACATTAAAATCTCTATACCAGTTAGAGTGGTGCTGTACCACCACCACCTTAGTTAGTAAAAATAATATGAATCACTATGGATAGGGAATTAGAGGGGATATTTAAAAAATACATTTATTATGCAGAAGTTAATTTTAAAAAGCAGTCATAATCTTTGGAGTTATGTTAAATTAAATGTAATGTAGTGTATTTTGTTTGTTTTTTAAAGACCAAAATGAGAAGTTGACTCAAGAGAACAAAGAAATACATTTGCGTTATCTAGAGCATAAGGAACAGCTAGATGAACTGAAAAATCGCATGAAGTTTTTCACCAAGGTGAACTTTTTATCCCTATTGATGAACAAAAAAGCTTTATATTTTTTATGCATTGTGCAAGTACTCCTCTTAAAAGCAGAAGAATATAGAAATATAAAAAATTATTTATTCATGATACCAGAAAAAGTGCCATGTTTAGTGGAATGCACCATGTTATGCTGAATGTATCTCTCCATAATTCATTCACATTTTCTTACACACTTTTATTGACTATTTCTGTTTCAGGAGAATGATACTGATGCGTCAGAACTCAGTGAAGCCCTCATGCTTATAAAGGTAACTTACGAACATTGATCACATTTTCATATCTGCTGTACAACTTTTTAACTCTGTTATGACTCTTTTGTATCTGCTGAACAAGGCCTGGGTTTTGAGAGGAATCTCATTTGTGTATCTTTTGGTAGATAATGCATCTGGCTTGTACATGGGCACGTGTCATTTTCAGCTACAGAAAAGTAGAAGAGAAAAGAAAAGTTGGCAGCATTAAATTTATATGGGATATGTACATATTTCCTTACAACATCAAAAGTGAATTTAGTCAGATCAACAAAAAAATGCTATAAAGCTTCTTTTTACTTACTCCAGTAAAAAGAGTTACTTTCTAGTGTTGTTTTCACATTTTCCCATTATAGTTCTGATCAAAAACAACTTTTTGTTTAGTAATTCTGAAAGGTTTGCAAGCATATTTCAAACTAAAATATTAAGCTCTGAAAGCATAATAAAAAGATGCTCTCACTAGTGACTGCTCTTTCCTTATTTATGAAAGAACCAGAAAAACTCCCTTTTTTCTCTAGGACATAACTTGTAATTCAACAAGATTTGCAAAGAAGTGAAATAGAAGAAATGACTATAGAATAGAAGAAATTAATATATTCTTCTCTCCTGTATTCAAGTAAATGCTGTTTTATTATTTTTAAGGAAAATATTCATAGTTTTATGATGTATGATATATCTTAAACTCCTAAAAATAAGGACAAAATAATTCCAAAATGAAAGGCTTTTTTTCATTTATTTGAATTTTATTAGCAAAAAAAGCTCTACTATTTTACTACTATTAAAAATCCAAAAATGTGTGATAGAGATAACATAGAAAGTTCCAATCTTGCAAGTACTGTGAGCAGCAGGAACCAATATATTCTTCATCAAAGAAAATTCCTCATGATTAATTTTATAAATCAAATAAAAATAATAAAATTTACCTGTTCTGGTCTTTAGCATTTAACTAGTATATAATTCAGCTGCCACAAAAAAGAAACACTTCCTCAAACAAGCCACATCTGAAAACATATTCTAACCCTTGTCTATTCACTAATCTCCTAAATGGCCCCATGTGTATATCATGAATAAAAGAGGTGATAAAATAGACCAGTGTAGAACCTGTAGAAGAGTATGCCCTCAAGGCAGGCAAGGAATCCTCTTGTCTGACATTAATATTAAAGAATAACTCAAGATCAAAACTACAATAAATAATGACATAATTAAAATTGTGAGATACTAATACAACATAACGTGTTAAACTGAATATGTCATCTCTCAGGAAATGTTCATTAATATGAATATTTTACATCATGGGTTGGCAACTTACAGCCCGAGGGCCATAACCTCCCTACAGTGCCACTGTATCTAACCTGAGGGTTTTGCCTATACCCGTATCTGTGCTGGGGTTAAAAAGCAAAGATCTGTGCCAGAGCCAGGCCACTTCCAGCTGTGCCCTTGCCACTATTGCTTCTTCCCCTGCCCCCAGCCAATGGAGAGCTGTGCTGGAAGCTGCATCCATGCTTCTGCTGCTTCTCTCTCCCTTTCCCTGCCCCCTGCAACCTTCCACATCCTAGCTGTGGTGCAGAAAGAAGTACAGGTGCATTGATACATTGGGTCAATATTGGATCAGCACCGATATAAAGAAAATGGACTATATCGGAAATTGGCTTTTTTTGCCTGAGGTCGATAAATGCCCCAGGTATGCATGCAGCCACATCATTCATGGGGCCAGGAGCGCAACCTGGCAGCTTGGAGGCCAGTGTTGGGCTGCTAAGTCTGTTGTGGGGGAAGGGGAGGAGGGAGGGAAGGGGCGTGGGTGTGTCAGATCGAGGCCCCTGTGGTGAGGGAGGGAGTGGGGCAGGCGCTACCCAGCCAGGGTGGAGCACAGGACTGAGCCTCTGCTTGTCTGGGAGATACAGGGGGGGGCAGCTCCTGCTGCTGTGTGCACCCCGGGAGGGCACAGGGGCCATGTGCCCTGGATCTGCATGGGGTGGGCTGCTGCTGCAGGCTGTAGCCAGGGCTGCTCTGGGCTTTTCCCGGTGGGGACTGGGCCAGGCTGCGCTCGGGGTTGGGTGGGTGGCGGCGCTGGGAGGGGGTTATGGCAGGGGCTACAGCAAATTTTGAGGTGACTGCAGCCACCCCCATAGCCCCCTCCCAGTACTGCCACCGCCTGCCCCGAGTGCAGCCTGGCCCAGTCCCACCCGGGAAGAGTCCAGCACAGCCCTGGCCCCAGCCTGCAGTGGCAGCCCACCCCACCCCGTGCAGATCAAGGGGCACATGCCCCCCATGTCCTCCTGGGATGTGATACAAGCCGATATGCCCCCTTAAAAATCAGCTACCAGTATAGGTCCAAAAAATCTCTATCGGTACACCCCTAGAAAGCAGAGCAGAAGATGTGGGCAGGGAGTAGAAAGTAGTGCAACAAATTGGGCACAGGAAGGAAGTAGGAGCGGTATTTAGGGAGGGTATGGAGATTTGATTTTTGGCATACCTACCAAAAAGTTTGGCTCCCCGACTGGATGACATCATCATCATCTTCAGAACTGTAATCCACATTATATGATTTCAAAGTCCGTAGTTACATTAGGAGTACATAATATGTATTAAAGCTTAATACTGGTGCCCATCACGATGATATCTAAGTTTCTACACTGTAGTTTGCAATGTACAGTATAGTCTGGAGATACCCATGCTTGCAGGAGTGACGCATAGAGGGTGCACGTGGGTGCATGTGCACCCCCTGCAAACAGGCACTGCCAACACTGTCGGCAGCGCCTGTGGGCAGTCGCAGCTCACCACCTTGCTGGCGGCGGCATCTGCATCCATGATCATCCCTGGCCACCACCAACGCTGCTAGTGGTGCCTGTGGGTGGTCGCCAACCGGTGGTTGGAGTTTGCCCCCTCCCCAACACCCCACACCGCCGCCGCCAACTGTGTCAGTGGTGTCTGTGGGAGCTCCCCGCTCACCGCCACTGGGCACCCGCCGCCGCACCGGCACAGCCATGCCCCCCTAGCCACCAGGGGCACATGCTATTCATGCATGCTCGCTTTAAAATAAGTTAGCTTGGGTACCAGAAACAACCTGGTTGTGACAGCAGATCTCTGCATAGAGTTCTCAGCAGGGTATATTAGCCATTACTAGATTTAGCTCAAGTATTGTTATGCTACTATGCATTCTGCTTTGGAACAACAGCTTTACTCCTGGCATTTTTTAAAAAGTCAATAACTAAGTTAGTATTTTGGAATGTACATCATTGATTTGCAAAAATACTTGGTATCTAGCAGTCTTCATTAATTTTGTATGGCCTACATAGAAGGCCAGTCTACCCAGGCCTAAGAAATTGTCATTGGGATTTAGAGTCCCAGTGTCATGTTGAGGTCCATGTGAATGCTGTCCCGTTCAAGTTTATAAAAACTCTATGAAGATACAGGATCCCATTTATGGCTTGAAGCCTAAATAAATTCTTAGGACTTGAGGTTATGACACATTTTTATGTTTCTGTTTTTCACTTTAGTTTCCAATTAGATCTGTTAATTGATGGAAACTTTTCATGTTGGCCAAAAGTCTTCAGTTATTTTGCATTATTTCCTCTCAGTTGTGTCTTATGGTTAGAATATATATGTATATTAAACTTTCTGATACCATGACTGTGCAGAATTTTTTAGTTATCTCAAAGAATATTAATGTTTTTGGAAATAACATCTATTATCTCATATTTCTTACTGGTAAGTTCTGTAGGTATTTGTCGGTGATGTTAAGTGGATCAGGTGAGATTTGAGTTCTTTTAGTTGTTTGTTGAAAAATCATTTTGTAGGTGTCTGGTGGGAAATAGATTATGGTGTAAGGTCCAATCCTAAAAGTGCCAAGCTTTTCACGTGTCTTTCTGTGATACGGTGGCACTTAGAATATAAGGCCAATCCTATGAAATTCTAAAATGAGACTTAATTTCCTGTGTAATAACGTCTTACTCTTGGCACTTTAACTCTGTAGAAATGCATGAAATTACACTGCCAAAATGTTCTCCAATATTTAAAAAAAATATCATATTTATGTTATAGGCTCGTAAGCAACAGCAGGATGGAGACTTAACATTTTTAGAGAAAGTAGAAGATGACATCCATAGAGACTTGGAACGCTCTCTCCGGGAGCTTCAGGCAACACATGCAGAAACAGTGCAAGAACTTGAAAAAACACGGAATATGTTAATCATACAGCATAAAATTAACCGGGATTATCAGGTGCCAAACTCTGGTCACAATGGAAAATAATCAGATAATGAATTTCTCTGTCCCCTGATCCACCCTGGCTGTGCAGCGCCTGTCCCAGCCACAGCCCCACTCCCTCCCTTACTGCTGGGGCCTCGATCTGCTCCCCTTCGTGCCACTTCCTTTGCAACAGATTTAACAGCTGGACCCAGCTGCTCTCCACACTGCCAGGCTGCGCTTGCACATCTCTGCTGCGGCTGTGCTTGCACAGGGTATTTATTGGCCACATTATCGGTCACAGCCAATAAAAACTGATTGCCAATAGTCAATATTCCTTATATCTGTGCCAATCTGATATGGGACTGATGTATTGGTGTGCCTCTAAAATATATCTATTATAGTAGAATAACATCTAATACATTTGGTTACATCAATCACTACTACTACTATTTTAAAATAAAGCTATGATATAGTAGGTGTGTCTCCATATGCTATTAATTCTCATTAGGCTTACTGTGCAGTAAAATACTGTGCAGTAAGCCTTCCCCAGGAGGACATCTACATGTGCTCCCTGTTGGAAACAGATTTGCTCCCAATGGGAGTAGCCCAGTACAGGGCTACTACTGTCCTGCTCTTCCCTCCTGCAGGAGCCAGGGGGAGCTCCCATCTCCCCTGGGTGCTAGCCCAGGAGTTGGCAAGGGGAACAGAGCCAGTCCCAAAGTACATGGGGCCAGGAGAGCCCTGCCAGCTTAGCATGGAGCTAGCTGCACCAGGGAGTAGGTGGGGGCTGAGACACAGGCCCCACGTGCCCCCTGGTGCAGCCAGCTCTGTGCCCCACAGAGCTGCTCTGGGGAGTGGGCAGGTTCTGGGTTCCCAGTCCCCCCTCACCCTGCAGAGCTGCCAGCTCCATACTGGGAGCTAGGACAGGGGGCAGAGAGCCCCCCAGTTCTGGCACTGATTGGCTCCTGGGGAAAACTGAGCAGAGCAGTGCCAGGGCGGACACTGCTCCCTGTCCCCTGTGGTCCCCTGCTGCTTAGGCTGACCGGGAGTAAATTTGTTCCCGGTCAGCGTCTACACAAATGCTACTGTGCAGGTACCAGCTAACTGCACAGTAGTCTACTGTGCAGTAAATGCTCCACACCTACAGATATTGATGCTTTACTGCACAGTAAGGCATCTCATGTAGATGTGCTCAGTGTGTATAGATTATTTAATGTTTTGGGCCTTGTGCTTTGTTTAATTGTTTGATGGCTTCCTTTACTTGCTGGCCAAGTTAGTGGTCACATCTGCAAAGGTTCACACTGTGGTCACTCAGAAATAGCTTTGGGTCTTCTACTTAGCAACACCTATGCAGCTTAGCCTAGGCCCTTTCAAAGACATCTCTCAGCTTTCCTCAGAGATCCACAGGGTAGGCAAAGTAAAGTCAGTGTCCTACTCATACCACCTTGTACATACTCATTTCTGTGATGGGACTACAGATATTATGCTGGCTCTTCATTCAATTAATTTAATTCTAAAAACCACAAAAAAATTGGGAAAAAAAACATTTAGCAACATTAAGGGAGCATACAAAAGTGCAG